TCGATTCAACTCCTGATGACAAGCCACTATCCAGCGAGGAAGCAATGCAAATGGCAACAAATCCATCAGTATGCACAAGAATTACCAGACATTGGTGATCAATGGGACAGTTACTTGCAACTAGCAAGAAAACTGTATGACACGCAGGCAAACATTGTCATAAACCAAAGAATGCATCCAACAAAACAATCCAGACAGAAAAAAATAAACATTAAAATACTGTATGTATTTTACTGTTGTGATTTTTTTTGTAGTAATTGTATTGCAGTTTTTGTTATATAAACAGTTTTTGGACAGTATATTTTTGTATTTTATTGATTGTGTTGTTACACGTGCATTTTGTCAACATACTTGCAGGTTCATAAAGGACATGTACCATGCTCATTTCCCAAATGAAGAATTTCTGTTATCAGGACAAATTGGACAGCGCAAACACGAGTCCGCACTAGAGAATATTTACTGTATCTGTAAATTTAGTTTCCTGCTCTTAATTGTGAATGCATACTTGATGGTTTTAAATGCTCCTGAAATTAAGTGCTGCTTGACGAGTCTATACAGTATTGTGTTCATGTATGTGACGTCACTGAAGGCCTAAGGTTGAAATGCACGGCCCGCCACTGCTGACGACTCACAAAAGCGATCAGAGAATTGTGGAACTAGAGCTTTTAACTAATTTCTCCACCAGATGGGGCTAGAGCTTCACATATAATTCTCGTGCCACCCTTTGCGTCACAGGCAAAACATCCGGTCCGTCATTTTCAATCAAACGAAAAAAAAAAATTTTTTTTTTTTCAATCAAACGGTGTAGTTTGTTGAGAGTAGTGATGGGAATTCCGGCTCTTTTTAGAGAGGTGGTTCTTTTGGCTCGGCTCCCAAATGGCTCCTCAGTTTTTTTTTTGTTGCTTAAATTAATTTACGACCAAAAATAATGTAAAATTATGTGTAAAATGAATTACGAATGTAAAAAATATACAGTATATCAAATATTTATTATTTATATGGCTTTATTTATATTCTTCTGAACATACTCAACATGGCGTACAGCTTGGAGTGCTACAAAAAAATAAATTAGAAAGTACAAAAACAAAGATCCATCTCAAAACAAGGTCAACAAAAAATTCCAATCTCTGATTGTGTATATTCATAAGCTTTTAACTATTTACAGTAAAACAACATGAGTAAGTTTTGATTACCACACAACAAATTATAAATTAAAATTTGGTATTGGATATTTTAACCTTGCACAGTCAACACAGTCTGCCTTTGAACTATCAATTAAGTTGAAATTCATATAGAACAGCACTGATCAAAGACATCAAAGCAGTACTTTTCCGCCATTTTGTGCACATTTGAATCGGTGACGGATGCTGGTCTGTCAAGGAGGGGAAGCTCAATTTATTATTTATACGTGGATTCTACTCTCCGCTTCTTTTCAAGAAATGTATCTGTGACCCTGTCACACCAAGTAGGCGTCTTTTCCAGGGACTTAACTAGTGTCCTACAACTACAGCAACTACAACAAAACCCACCAGAAATGAAAGACTGAAAGACTGCGGTCAGAACGACCGCAGTGTTGAAAGCACAGTGAAGCTGCGGAATGAATGAGAAGAGAGTTGCGTCGTAACTAGTAACAAAAAGCTGATTCGGAACAAAAGTTGAGCGGTTTGTAGCGCATATTTAGTCAATGACATGTACACACAATTGTATGTACACACATATATTTGATCACTTTTATCTTTTGATATTTTAGGGGAAGCTGAGCTTCCCTTGCAGTCTTAGAGCAATCGCCTCTGATTTGAATATATGGTCGTACCTGTCTCTCCGGAATTGCAAGCCAGACGGACTCAGATGTGTTTTTAGAGGTGGGATCATTTGTGTTTTTCCACGTGTTTCGTGTCCACCCAACTGCATATCGAGTAAGTGTGTCCGCCTCTGAAAACAATGGGTTGTAATGATTATTCGTTCTGCACTTTTATATTTAATGGAGGATTGTGGCTTGGAAATAATGTCTTTATTTCTGTTTTCCTATCAAGCTAGCCACTACTGTTATTTATTATTGTGTAATTTTCTTGAAACTGTGAGATAATTTTCTTTGATTTTTTAACTCTTAAAATTCAGCTAACATCTCAGTCTTTCATCTGAACGCTGTACAATTTTTTGTTGTTCTGTCGGGAATAAAGCCCACATAAAAATTATTTTGCGTTCAGTCCAGTCTTTCCAAAGACCCGGCTGAAACAATAATTTTGGTCATTATCTTAGGAACGTGAATTTGTAGAGCAACATGAGTGTCATCAAGACATTTATTTCAACATGGTTGTAACATTCGCTTATTCACTGAGTGACACTGTGAAGTCATACAAAATAATGAAGACTGATCTACAATACAGCCCACTCATCATCAAATTTGGATCACCATTGCAAATGAAATTGTAATGACAGAGTTGTATTTTCATCCACTGTACGCAAAATGTCCTTGTCTGGCAGACCTAAAATGGTGCCCAAATTCATCGGAGAATCGGAAAGTTAAATCTGAGAAAAGTTGAGGATCCCTTGTTTCACTCAAAGTGACAACGCCTTTTTCTGTTTCAGTATGGCTAGCGAGGATAGCACCCCCTGCTGCACGTTTTCAGCCCCGAGCCACAGTGCCACTCTCCTCCAGGGCTTGTCAATGTTGAGGGCTCAAGGCCAACTTCTTGACATGGTGCTGACCATCAATGAGGAGCGCTTCCAGGTCCACAAAGCTGTGCTGGCCGCTTGTAGTGATTACTTCAGGTCAGTGTGGACCACAGGACTATTTCAGATTCCATTTACATTTTAAATTCAAATTGACTTCCGCACTCAAAGCAAAACACTATGACTGAAAGCAATTTGGTGGGGAGAAAAAGATAATGCAGTGGAAATTGTCAGACACATAACACTTTCAAAATATTTCTCAGAACACCGTTTGATCCAAGTACAGGCCCTGAAAAAAATAGGGAATCACAAGTCTCAGAGGGTGTTCATTCAGTTGTTCAGACATAACACAAAAATCTAAAATCTGGAACAAGTACAATCAACATGAGAAGTACAAACAAAAGTACAAACAACATTGGAAAGTTTTTAAAGGCAAGCATACGACATACATAGTGTTTGGGGGCGGAAATGTGTGTGCCGTCTTGACCTGTGGGATGATTCAGCACCATGTCGCACTTTCGATGGCGGCGCGGGCACCTGCAGCGGCTCCTCTCTCTCCTTTGGAAAGAAATTGCATCTGTGCTGTATGTTGCACATGTAGCAAATTTGACAATAAAGTTGACATGAACATGAACATGTGGAGAAGATTTCAGCGGTTTGTGAAAAGGTGGATAATCCCCATACTGTTTTCTTATCATTGAGAACTTTGTTACAGAAAGTAGCTGTGGAGTGTGATTTCAGACGAAATGTCGTGAGATTTAATGTTTGCACTTGTATTTATGTTGCAGAGCTATGTTCACTTGCGGCATGAAGGAGTCGAATCAAAATACCATTGAGCTGGAAGGTTTGTCTGCCCGGGGCCTGAAGCATATTATCGACTTTGCTTATAGTTCGGAAGTCACTTTAGATCTGGACTGCATTCAGGATGTCCTTGGAGCAGCTGCTTTCCTCCAGATGGTCCCTGTTGTTGAATTCTGTGAAGAGTTCCTCCACTCAGCCATCAGTGTTAAGACATGCCTGCACATTGACCAGATGGCAACCACCTTCAGTTTGTCTTCCCTCAAGGCGTCGGTGGATGCCTTCACTTTTTGCCACTTCCTTCAAATAGCCGAGGAGGAGGACTTCCTGCACATTCCCGTGGAGCGCCTCGTCTTCCTTCTGCAGAGCAACAAGCTGAAAAATTGCCGCGAGATTGATCTCTTCCATGCAGCTATTCGATGGCTCCGACACGATGAGTCCCGTCGCACTCAAGCGAGCAATGTCCTCTGCCATGTGCGCTTCCCACTCATGCGTTCGTCTGAGCTGGTGGACAGTGTTCAGAGGGTAGACATCATGGTGGAGGACGTGCAGTGCCGCCAGTACCTCCTGGAGGCCTTCAATTACCAAATTCTTCCATTCCGACAGCATGAGATGCAGTCACCACGCACGCTCATTCGTTCTGATGTCATATCATTAATCACCTTTGGCGGGACCCCGTACAGTACCATCAGTGGCAAAGCAAGCACCAAGGTGTATTATCTCCCTGACGCTGCTTCCCGTCAGTTTCAGCAGTTGACTGAGATGGACACAGGGCGCAGCCATGCCTGCGTCGCCGTCCTTGACAACTTTGTGTATGTTGTGGGTGGGCAGCATTTGAAGTATTCCAATGGAGAGAGTGCTGTTGACAGCTGTATGCGCTTTGATCCGAACTTGAACCAGTGGCTCCGCATCCAACCAATGCAGGAGGCCCGCATCCAGTTTCTTCTCAATGTCTTGAACGGAAAACTGTATGCAACTGGAGGGCGCAATCGATCTGGCAGTCTGTCATCTGTGGAGTGCTACTGCCCAAAGAAAAATAAGTGGACCAATGTGGAGCCATTAAAACGCAGGATTTGGAGTCATGCAGGGACCCCATGTGGAGAAAAGCTATACATTTCCGGTGGTTATGGCGTCTCTTTGGATAACATGAAAATCCTTCACTGTTATGACCCAGTGGCCGACCAGTGGAACTTCAGAGCGCCCATGAACGAACCTAGAGTGCTGCATGCCATGATATGCAGTCGAGATCGGGTCTATGCTTTGGGTGGACGTGTGGACCATGTGGACCACTGTTTTGATGTGCTGACTGTCGAGCATTACGATCCACAGAGTGACCAGTGGACAACCATCAGCCCCATGAGAGCAGGCCAGTCCGAGGCTGGCTGTTGCCTACTGAACGGAAAAATCTACCTTGTCGGGGGCTACAACTTGTACCGGAGAAAGGTCACGAGCATCGTCCAGGTGTACAATACAGAGACTGATGAGTGGGAGAGAGATTTACATTTTCCCGAATCCTTAGCTGGGATTGCTTGTACACCAGTCGTACTTCCGCAGACACAGAATATCTGACCTAATGGCTGTGAAAATCTGCGTTATTCAGGCTCCCAAAATTCAAGACAAGGACCGTAAATAGTAAGCATGGGATGAAGTGGCTCAGAGGGGATCGAGCCTTTTCTGTTGCTGGTCCCTCTCTCTGGAATGACCTCCCACTGAGCATTCGGCAAGCCTCCTCGCTGCCCATCTTCAAAACCCGTCTCAAAACTCACTTGTATTTTTTGGCATTTGACTCAGCATGACTTAGATTGTTCTTGGTTTTGCTGTTCGGTGCTTTCTACTGTTTTTATTACCGATTTGCTTTACTGTTTGTTGTATATGTTAATTTGCTCCATGTACAGCACTTTGTATGCAGCGATGGCTGTTTGAAAGTGCTCTATAAATACAGTTGAGTTGAGTTGAGTTGTGAAGTGAGTTCAATTTGATCACGACAAGGAACTTCACGGCACAATAGAGTTTGATGCTGCGTTCGTACATCATTACTGGACATCGCCGCATGTGTTACTTCCTTTTGTTGGAGTTCACGTTTTGATCGTTTCAGATTTGATTTGGGGCAAATTGATATGGCAATTAAACTCCAATCAGTCATAAGTAACGGTTAAATTATTTATTGACAAGTTTATCTTTTTTTTTAACCATTGACTCAAGTAATGGCATTTCAAAAGGTACTTTTTGGGTTTGGATCTATTGGTTATCCACTGTTTTAAGTCTTGATCCAGTATGCTTTCCTTTGCTTTTTGGAGGGGCAGGCGTGATTGCCTTGAGTCAGATCAGGTGTAGAGCAGTGATGCACTGTATTTCGACTGAAAACCACCAATTCCTTTACTTTTTGCATTTTCTTTCTCACTGTCCTCGTGTAGTGTTTACTGTACTAAGGTCAGATCACATTCAAGCGACTGTCTTGGTATAATTTCTGTGCGTGGATCTGTTGTAGCAGCAACCTTACACATTTGTGAATGTCTACTCTGAAGTGCTTTTGTCTTGTCTATGAAACATCCGTGTCTCTCACAATTGTCTGTGATGTATTATTATGACTACGTTATTATGACTTTCCTACCCACATTCAAATGATATTGTCATTTTGACTACATTTTTCAAAACAGAAGGAAACATTATACTGCAGTAGTGTTTGGGAAAGCAATTGAAAGATAGGAGACAATCACGATGCAGAATCGGCTGAGGATGTATATTTCAATATGCATGTTGCCCTGTCAGCAAAAGCACATGATAATTTGAAGTGCAATATGGAGGGAGCTCTCTTCGCATGGGAATGTAACCATTCAATAAAGCTGCATCTTGTTTGAAAAAAGGCTCTCCTGTATATCTGTGTGTTTATGTGCATATGTGCGTGCATGTGTTTCTTGACTGTGATGGAGTATGAAACTTTTTGTCAATGAGCACCTTTGTGTGTATTTGAACCACGTATCACTTTCGGCATACTGTATAATCAGTTTTCTCTGCAATAATTACTATATGCCAGTTTCCATAACTGGGAGAGAAAGTATTGTACAGTTGGTAAAAAGCGGCGTAATACAGTGGCCATTTAAATGTTAAAAGAAAACGTGAAAAAAGTTCTGATTAGATTGTATTTGTTTGCTTAACCAAGGATTTGAACAGAGGTGGCCAGAATTCTCAAGAGATGTATGTATAAGGTCAAACATATTTTTTGTCAAAATATGCATACCTGTCAACTTTTCGGAGCGCCAACCTGTATAAACTACCAAAAAAATCCTTATAAAGAGCAAAAAATCCTTACAACATACCAAAGCATTTTATATGTCAAAATAACGGCAGAAAAAAACCCACGAAATATGAATGATATATTTGTTTCCTTGTAGAACTTGCTTGTACACTACCGAAGTATGCAATGAATACTCTGCTGTTTTCAACTAGGAACCACCTGATTTACTGGAAAGTTACCGGAAATGAAAGCATTCGAGTAGACTAGCACCATTCTGGGCAAAAGCAAACGGAACTACCTGTTAGGGGGAATAAAAAAAAAAAACAGAAATTTTCAGAATCCGTATGATTTGTGCGATATGGCCATATACGTAAGATTCACCACAAAATCCGTATGAACTATGGCTAAACCGTATGAGTTGACAGGTATGAATATGGCTCGATCATTATTTTAAAAGGCGGACGATGATACATTACATCATAGCGTAATGTGATTGACAGGTTCTAAACAGGCTAAAAACAGGTGCAGTGATCATGTACTAGTTGTACATGATCACGTTCCAGTCGCTTGGGATGAAGACAAAAGTACTGCGGTCTTGAGGAATGAGTTTAGGGGTGTTCACACGGCACACATTTGCTTCGGTGCTGCACCAATGTATTTTGTTGTGATATGTCTTACACCAGAGCAAATTTCGTGGAGCATTCACACGTACAAAGCCGCTGAGCGTGTTAACCCCAGTGCAGCCCCAGTTGCGTTCACAGCGGTGCAAAATGATAGAAAACAAAAGGGGTGTTCACACGGCAACACTTGCTCCAGTGCTACGCCGGCGCTGCGCCAGTGGCGCGGTCACACGTCCAAATTTGCTCCGGGGTAGCGCCGGAAAACAGCTTACACCGGAGCAAATTTGATCCACCTCAGGGAGGTGGTTTAAAAATTTGCTCTGGAGCAAATGCTCGTTTGCGAAGCAGCACTGATGTAAATTTGCACGTGTGAAGTCTCCAATTTGCTCCGGAGCAAATGCTCGAGAAGAGTTGATTACGTACGGCGAGAATGCATTGCTTTCGTGCTCTGTCGGACTTCTGTCATGTGTTTGTTTAATAACAAGACACAAGACGTGGCTGGTAACAGTAGCAAGCACCTCTTGGGTTATACCATCTCAACTAGAACGGGGGGATAGTCCCCAAACATCATCTTTCCTTTTGTAGGAGACTGGACTGTCTCGGAGTTGTTTGTGTAGTTTGTTCCTTTGTTGTGTGTTCGCAACCCCCCGCCCCCCATAGAATTTATTTTGTGATTTCCTCTCTTGATTTTCTGTTTGGCGCATAACATGTTTGCTTTTCTGAGTGTCATTGAAGTCATCGTTGACTTATGTTTTCGGGGGCGGTCACTCTCGAGCTGAAGGCACGGAGACCGAGAAGGAGAAGGACATGCCTGTGCAGTAGTTGCTTGAGTTGTGTATAAGTTTTAAAAAGAACCAACATGACAGCTCCTTTGTTTTCTGTCGTTTTGCTCCGCTGCAGAAACTGCCGTGTGACCGCAAGTGGAGCTGCACCGACGCTGCGCCGGTGCTGACATGCTCAGCGGCTTTGTACGTGTGACCGCTCCACAAAACTTGCTCCGGTGTAAAATATATCACAACAAAATACATCGGTGTAGCGCCGGAGCAAATGTGTGCCGTGTGAACACCCCTAAAGAGCTGTCATGTTGGTTCTTTTTAAAACGTACACAACTCAAGCAACATACACAACTCAAGCAACTACTGTACAGGTACGTCCTTCTCCTTCTCGTTCTCTGTGCCTTCCGCTCGAGAGGCGTTCAATGACCGCCCCCGAAAACGTAAATCAACGATGACTTCAATGACACTCAGAATAGCAAACATAATGCGCCAATGTCGGGGAGGGGGGGGGGGTTAATGAACACACAACAGAGGAACAAACTACACAACTCCGAGACAGTCCAGTCTCCTACAAAAGGAAAGTTGACGGAAGTACAACAGAGCATGAAAGCAACGTGCTAGCCGTGTGTAATCAACTCTTCTCATGCGTAGAGAGGCTACTCCCCCCGCAAATGTTCGGAGCAAATTTTTAACGATGTAGCGTTCACACGTACCATTTTACATCGGTGCTGCCCCGCAAACGAGCATTTGCTCCGGAGCAAATTTTTAAACCACCTCCTTCATGAAACTGTTGTGGTATGCATGGTGAGCAGAGAGGGGAGATAGTTTGGGATCTTGCCCATGACTGCTATGCCATCTTGTGGCAACTTGTTGCCGAGGACCTAAAGAATGTTGAATTGACAAAAGGAGCTTCTATAGACGTTTCTAATACAGGAACAATGATTTGCCATGTCTTGTAGCAATCTTCCTTGAATTGTGTGGAAATACTGCTCTGTATTTTACGTTTTCAGCACAAAGAACTGGTTTAGGTCTAACCTTGTGCATTCTCTCAGTTCTCACTGTCGTGCAAGGTTTGCCATTCGCGGACAGTATTTAGACTCCACAGAGTATGACTGATGCATCACATTGATATCCTACTTGGTTCGCGAAGATTTAGTTGCCCAAAACATGTGGGCATATTGACAACGAAAAGGTGGGCGGGGCTACATGCCGTCCGACCCCGCCTTCCCGCGCACGTAGGCGCCGATTGTGCGTGATGACGACACCAGAAGGCCCCGACGTGGTGCGTAACGTAGCATTCCATTCAGACAAGAGAGAAAGATGGCGTCCTCTAACAATCCCCGCAAATTTAGCGAAAAAATCGCTTTGCATAACCAGAAACAGGCGGAAGAAACTGCGGCATTCGAAGAGGTCATGAAAGACTTGAATATCACCAGAGCTGCACGGGTAAGACGTGCATAACCCGTTTTTAGCATTTTGTTGCAACGCTGTTTGGCAGCTCGCAAATGCTGTGAAAATAAATGTGAACGTTTATGCGAAGTGAATGCGTCGGTTGCAACAACAATACACCGCCGCTGGATAATCCCCCCCCCCCTTTTTTAAACGAAAATCTGCAAGGAAAACGCCAATAATTATACGACACCTTTAGCGCTAATTAGCCTAGTTAGTACAGTGGAGCTTAGAATGGAGGTGCACCTGTCATCTCGCTGTCTGATGTGAACAGGCACCGCTGACAGTTAATTAGCGAATGAATCGTTTGGCTTGTAAATCACGACTTTACAAGGCAGGCACTTATATGTCGATAAACTGTCCGTATTGATGGAGAACCGTGAAGCGCGTATGCTGGCAAGCCTCGCTAACGTTAGCATTAATGTTCGCCGCCTTCTCCTGCTGTGGTTTGTTTTGATCCCGTTCTCTGCCAGCTACATTAGCACGCTGCATCGCACTCATTTTAAACACTGCAAATAAATGAACATTTCAGTTGACATTCATTTTTAAAATCTGATTTCTGCTATCTCCCTATATTCGACAGTCGTTGTCATTATCGGTTCATGTTGAATAAAATAATCCACAAACAAACATTCGGAAAGGCTTTTCACTTCTACAGCGCTTGTGTGCAGTTTTTATGGTGATGGGGTTTTTTTTTGTCTTGTAATTTGAAATGCAAAATCTATATGGTTAGATTACATTTTCTGCATTTGATTATTTATGATCGAGATACATATTTGAACACCTAATTTGTTTTCTAGATGTGTACTGATTTTTTTTTAATGATCACTAATCAGTGTATACAAAAAGGCAATGTTTTAGCTCTATTTCTTGAAATTACATCAGTATAAACAACAGTTTTTGGTCTCTGCGTTTCCATTGGACAGAACATCATTTCATTGCATTAGATCATATTATTCCATGTTGACTGGCTGGAGCGCACACTCCCCATGTGTTTGTATGAACCTAAATGAGTTTGGTCCAAAGGGAAATGTGTCAGGTGTGTTTCAAATTACCGCTAATCCTGACCATATTGACAGCTGTCTGAAATGATTGACATATATCATCCTCATCTGCCTGAAGTCATTAGGTTTCATGTCAGGTAATGAAAGCGTTATTTTAAACTGGGGATTAGTAGGCATCATTCATTTTTTTGCTTTACTTTTTCTACAGTCAGACCCGCCATGCTCTCATGCTGTCATGCAATTTTACTTTGCACAGTTGCAGTTACAGAAGACCCAGTATTTGCAACTGGGGCAGAATCGTGGACAGTACTATGGAGGCTCACTGCCCAATGTCAATCAGATTGGAAATGGCAACATTGACCTGCCTTTTCAGGTGAGCCCTTAGCCTTTCTCGGCTGGTTTGTTTTTGTCCAAAGAAACCCTCGGGATAAATAATGTATATAATTGGGTTTAATAATACAAAAAGCAATCCAGTCATAGATTGGACAGTTTCTTTTTTTCTTCTTCTTCTTTTTTGGGGGGTGGGGCAATGCAAATCAGTGGCATTGGTGGACAAGGAGTTCTTTTGGATCTTCTGGTTCACAACGAAATGGCAGCAAGATGTTTACATCAGTTCTTCACTGCAATGGAATTTGGTTTTCAAAATTTGTTGTATATCATTGCTTGTCATGGCTTTCCATTCTAAGATACATTTGCCAGCTCAAACTTCAGTATGGGGCCCATGGCTTGACTCATTTTGAAATGAACACATTTGCACCATTAGTCCTGAGACCTTTCTTGTACTTCTTGGAGTGTTGTTGCATGAGATAGCTTCATTGTTGCCCTCAGTGACCTGTGAGTGTGTTCACTCTAGAATTCTGTGTTGGACACCAGTCGCACAACCAGGCACCACGGTTTGGTGGATCGTGTTTACCGTGAACGAAATCGCATCACTTCTCCACACCGCCGGCCTCTTTCAGTTGACAAACATGGACGCCAAATATCCTTTTTTAATCGCACGCAATGGACGAATATTATTTCCTTTGTTTGAACCGTGAAGGTATTTATTTCTACATAAAACCATTTGTTTATCCAACATTCAGCAAAGCTAAACCACTGTGAATTGAGCCATAAGACTGGATTTGTGTGAGCTGTATTCGTCCAGTAACAGTTCATGTACTGGGTTATAAGAATGTACCAAGATTAGTGCTGCGTGATATAACAATATACAATATATTGTAGTGTGGCATGAAAATGTTTACCCGACAATATAAATCTCGATGGTTAACATAGGTGTTTTATGTGTGTAGGCTATTGGGGTAGGTCTGTTGCTACAATGATGCGCCTGAGGCAGTAACAGAACATCATCATCTTTGTGCCTCACTCTCCAAGCATGACTAATCGATTTACACTCAGTCCAACTGTTACACGAATGTAAATACATTGGTTGGTTCGTCATGCCTGGAGATTGGGACACAAGGATGACAAGGCAACAAGTTACTCTCCACGCTGCTCAACTGCGAGATGAGTTCATTAAACGGAGTGTGTGCAGTGTGCATGCACTCCAAGGCAGTATAAATTTGGGGGAATTTTTCTTTTTTAAGTGTCTTTTGATGCCTTAAACCTCAGATGCTGTGCTAACATTTTATGAGCAATGAGTGAAACTTAATGTAATGCAGCAAAACAAACCTTCTACATTGTGGTAGCATTTTTAGATCACCTGCAAATACTTTTTTATAGCACGGCCAGCGCAGCATGGTTGTAAACAAATCATGTTAGAGTTTAGCAGACAGCCGGCAGAGTTGCTGCTAAAAAGAGAGAACCGTAATGCCAGGATTTGTTTTTAAAAAGTCAATATGTCAACTGAAAAACAGTAATCTGCTAAATATTTTGCCGTCAAGTCGCAAGTCAAAAACGTTGGATCTTTTCTACCACTTCATGACATGACCTGAAGAACTGTATTGAGAAAGCACGAATTTATGACAAAGCACTCATCATACGATCAAATTAACAGCGATGAAAAGGGGGGAAAAACAGGACATGGCACAATGCTTTAGCAGTACAGTACTTAGTTTTGGAAAAGTGATCTCTGATCTCTCAAGCCTCCAAAAAAAAAAAAAAGATCAACTTTTCCTATTTCTCAGCCTGTTAAACACGTGAAACAGATTGTTAAAAAAGCAAGTAAGAGTTTTCGTTTCATGTCCAAAAATATTTACCTAAACTTGGAAACGGTTCATTAATTAGCATTTTTACTGATGAGATGATATGCATATTTATGTTACTTTCAGTACTTTATTGTATTTATTTAAATTCTTTGCATTCTTTATTCCATTCCTTCCATTCCAATTTTTTGTAATGCCACTCTCTTCTTCCATGTTAGTTTTTATTGTATTTTGATCTTTTATTGTATGACATTTCTGTATGAGGTGTGTCGGGAAATAAAATTATGTCGATATAACACAGCACTAACCGAGACGAGATTACTGTACATTACGTATTGTTTGTATTTTTAAAGGTAGTTTCTCAACAGATAAAAGTATCAATGAAATATCATCTTCTGTCTGAGCCATGTGATACTAAGCATGACAGTGCGCTTCTATTACTATTCTGCTTTGACAATAATGAGGCACTGACTCAAACCTTTTTATTTGTTCTTGAAGCTAGCAAACACTTGTGTGGAATTCTGTTGTTGATTGGCTCTCTTTGGCCAAATGAGCCAAGAGGCATGAAATTAAGCTCTGGACAATTTTTCATTCCTTCTTCTTTATTAGCCCTAACTCGATTCACATCGACAGCTGCCCCTACAGCTCAGTTTACCTCTCCCCGCCACCAGACACAAGCTGGAGAAGGTAAGCAATCTCCCCCTTTGCCATTTTCCAGAATAAAACCCAGGACAGACAATATTGCAAAAATTAAATTACATGAAACTCAGCTGCGCACAAGCTGAGCTACTGGCGATATATTGTATATTTGTAACGGAGCACTTGTTTTTGTCGGATCTTTTAAATGCCTACACTGTGCTGCCCATTTGAGATTTCAAAGCCATTTAGATGAAACCTCATCTCTCATACAGGACAAATTCAGACTCTGCCTTACACCAGAGCACCATAAATCCCAAACCCCAAGAGGTGTTTTCTGGCGGATCACAGGAGCTTCAACCCAAACGAGGTAATGGAATATGTGGTTGCAAAAAAACACAGGACTACTTTGATTAATTCATCGCCGCAGTCCTCATACACAAAATGTCACAAAGCCACACGTTCTACTTCAGCGGGTGCAGATCGCGACCATTTGTCAAATATTTATATTGCTGCAAAGATACGGCTCGCTCCTTCAGCTTGCCGCCACTTCTGTATTTTGCCGCCTCCGGAGGAGTGGAATCTCTGAATGGAGCTGACTCAAGGTGATGGAGAGAGCCAGATCAATAATTCACTGATCTTCCACGGGTTGTGTGCGAAGCCTTGATATAGTGAAACCTTAATTGGTTGGCATCCACCCAGTCTGTCTCGTGGTCACCTTGCTATTTTTAGGCTCCCTGGAATCATGAGTGCAGCCCCGTAATCTGCCTGCCTGACTGGCTGGGATATTGATGACTCATTTCTTGCCCTGATTTGAAACATGGTGTTTTGCAATCGCCAGCAACTGTGTCTGGCTGTTTGACTAATTAGTACTGCTGCTAACAAACAGTGCCTGGGACGGAGAGCTTGGAGACAAATGCAGACAATGATGCACAGAAACAGCTGTGGGATGACAAGAAGGTACTAACGGGAAAGGGAATGGCTGCATGCTTTGTAGTAGTCCACGTATGCAACGCTTCAAATTGGAGATGGAGGTTTGTCTTGTCTTCAGGGGGATTCACCAAACCACAACACATGTGATGTCCCAGGAATCAAGTGAGTGTCTGTCACACATTGCATGATCATCTTGAAGATTGAATCCTTGTCTTTGGCGGAGAGGACATTCTTATAAGTGATAACAAATGTTTTTTTTTTTTTTTGGGTAGTATTTTCCCATCACCAGACCAGGAACTGAACCCAGCGGTGCTACCTGCTGCACACAACACAGGCGGTTCATTGCCTGATCTCACCAACATCCAGTTCCCTCCTCCTTTGTCCACCCCACTGGACCCCGAAGACACAGTAGCCTTCCCTTCCCTCAGCTCGTCCAACAGCACAGGCAGCCTCACCACCAACCTCACCCATCTAGGCATCAGCGCAGCCAGTCATGGTATCAACTGCCCTACCCTCCAAAAAATGCGAAGCACTAGCAGATTTTGTTCATACATTTTATTATAAGCTGCACATTATTTGAGCAAATACAGCCAGCAGCAGTACACGTGAGCTGATGTTGAAACTGTTGACTTTTGCTCTGTATGCACTGTAATTTCTGCGTGTTGAATCAATGAGTAGACGGATAGCAGTTTGTTGTCAGTGTAAACCATTAGGAGAACATATCTTGTATAATCTGCATTATTGCTCAGTACTGAGGAAGTGTGGCAAGGGCGTCGTAAGCAACAATAACCCAGAGTGTGATATTGTTCAGTTTGGATGCTCTGGAGCTGCATTTCTCACACATGCGCTTCTCATTTTTGTCCCCCGCAAACAACCAAGGGATCCCTACTTCCTCCCAGCCCACCATGACTGTAACAGAACAACGCCGCCAGCCCCCCGTGGTGCCACTTACACTAAGCACCGACCTCCATCTTCAGAAGTCCACACAGCAGTTGTCGCCCACCCTCTCCTCACCTGTTAACATCACACAGGTGACAGTTTGCTCTCATGCCTTTTGTTTCACTGCTCAGTGCTGAAAATTCGACTGTGTAGTTTCTCAGCCAACCAGGTTTGGGCAATCCGCAAAGGTTGAGTTGAGGAAACTAGAACGCTTCTCGTTTGTCGAATTTGTTGTGTATGTTTTCTGAAAATGCTCAAAATACTTGGGCAATATGTTATAGGCTAGCAAAAAAACTACTCTTTAACAATCTTTCATCAGTAACTCGATTTTAAATGGTTGTCATCACACAGTGTACAATCAAAATTGATTAACAATGGAGTCAGACCGCTCTGAAAACAAATCGAATCATGACGTGCTTTTCTTACCCCGATTACTGAGATAACTTGTCAATTCAAATCCTGAGTTATTTTTGCCTTATGTGGTTTTCCTGTAGATATTTCCAACAGAACAGCAAACCCTGGAGCAACAGCTTTCCCAGTTCCCTCTTTTCAACCATCTGACTGCTCAGGCCCAGGCTCAGTTGCTCAGCGACCTGCAGAAGCAGCCGCCGCAGGGTATCCAGCTCATCACGCTGCCTGCTCCTCCTTCCAGTGCTACAGGCCCCGCTACTGCCAACAGCCCATCCCCGGACAGCCAGACCTCAGCCAGCATCAGCTCGGTAAGACAGCAAGAACCCCAAACCTCCTGTGCTGCAGAATTCCAGAGAACAAAAATGAAGTACTGTCCTGTATCCTAACTTACTACAACTTTTTCTACACCAAAGGATGAGTGGCTGTTATTGTACAATTCCATTTGCAAAGACTGCAGATGAAGTGGGGATCTACAAAGCTATTTTGCTTTTAGCGAGCGTTCCATTACACAGAATGTAATGACTGAATGCTTATCTGAAGTCGCCTCACAGCATCATCCTTTGAGATTTGTGTATGACTAGCATGGAGCTAAGCGCTCGCTAACCCTCTTCCTTCCAACAGTATCGCAATCAGACTGGCTCACCAGCCACTCAGTCTCCAACCTCCCCAGTCTCCAATCAAGGCTTCTCCCCCGGCGGCTCGCCTCAAGTAAGAGCCCACCCACCAAGCTTGCTGCTTTTTGGGGAAGGGCTTTGTTCCAGGGGGGGAAGCTAATACTTGATAGGCTGCTTTTTATCCTTTTGCATCAGTTGTGGTGTAACATAACTCATTTCTTCTTCACACTTGTCGCTGTTTGCTGTGCATGACTTTACAGCCAGTTTATTGATGGGGGTCCCCATCTTTAGACTTCCTCCGAGTTGTTCATCTTTTCCCCTTTCTCATTCGGAACTCATGGGCAGATGTATTTTAGCGGCTATTGGAGCCCAGTAGTCCAATACATCTGCTCTTCACATAAACATAAACATCCCTCTCTCTTTTCCAAGAAAGTCGTCACCATTTCCATAAAACATTTGCTAGAGGGATCAGGGATGTTGCGTGTATTTTTACACTTAATCCTTACACAGCAAAGGGTGAGACGAAGGAAAGCAACTTTGGCACAACTAGTTAAGGTTGGGTAGATTAGCCTGTTGTTGGCAAATTTTACATTGTTACCCTTCCATTTTTTTCAATTCGAAGAATATCTACCTCTGTATGTAATTACAATTACTTTTGTTATTGAAGGAAAATCTGTTGTCCAGGAACAGCAATAACAGTAACCAAAAAAACAAACAAAAAAACTTACCTCATAAATATCACTGTGAGGTCTGTAGTAGTAGTAGTAGTTGGACAAAAGTAATATACATTTAGAGGAAGCCTGGGCTGTAATGTACTTACTGTAAGGGACTCTACTATTTACAGCCAGTCACACAATGTTGACTATTTGTAACTGTTACCTCATCCTATATCTCTTAAGGTCAACTTCCAGTATTTTTTTCAGGCAGGGTGGTGCTCCTAATCCATTGTTTTCAATACCCCATTTCCAACCCCGCAAAAAGGGCCAGGGCCACTGCTGTGCTTATTACGTGTTAGGTTTTCCATCGGCAAAGAGCCAAGTAGGAGTTGCATCATTACTTCATCGTAAAGCGTCCAAACGTCATTGCTTACGTTGACGCTTACCCAAGAGCATTTGCGCTATTTTTAGTACTGGTAATAATAATAATAATAATAATAATAATCATACAATACATATTTATTTATATAGTGATTTCACAACAGCTTCAACAATAATAATAGTGCACTATAAGCATCTGGTAGCAACTTAGCATACCATCGATTATACTTGGATGAAGTATACAACAGCCAGGGACGTGCAATCACCAAACACTGATATCTTTCTTCATCATTGTAGATGATCATGAGGCTAGCTGCGAGATCTGACATCGCATGCTATCTGGGCACATCCACAATCGCTTTTCTGGTGGGACACAATTGTGCCAGAGTTCACCGCTCAACAGTTTCTGCAAAACTTCTGTGTGTCTGGGGAGTCGTTCCTCTCTACATCTGCGATCGTCATGGTGTAGTTGGTGCCAGAGTCTTGCCCAACAAATAATTGGGGCTAGTAGCTTAAGCACCAGTTTCAGGCACCAGAGCTGGAGCCAATTTCGGTGGAGGAAAAAGCAAGAACTGGGCACGGGGACGGAACTAGCACACGTGCAGTTGAAAAGGGCCATAATTGGTCGGTTTGTTGCCCGGGCTTGGCAGATTCATCGAGAAAAAAAATGCAACCTCTAGTTGGTGTGACAGTTTACTAAGTGTACCGAAGGGCCACAATGTACAGTATTAAATGTGAGTGATACAATAAATGAAGGACATATAAAAGAAACAAACATGGTCACTGGGAGACCATCAGCCCAATCCAAAGAAATGAAAAGCCTCCTTTTTTCACATGGTTCTCAGTCTCACCTGATAAATACTATTGAAGCTACCAACTCTCAGACTCCTGTCATAGTGGCCTAGTTGTCGTCCCTGCCGCAGTGCGCTGTGCCAAGAGCGATTTCATGCGCCCGAACTGATTCGGTTTCATTTTGACGGTAACTTATTCATCTGTGTCATTTACAAGCAATAGGGTAGTGATCAGGGTAGTGCTAGTGGTCCTGTGGAGGGACTGGAATTTCCCCTGATGAAATGTCCGTGCTGTGCCATGAAGAGGCCTGTTGAGGTCAGTGGACCACTGCAATACCGTGGTTGGTCTCTGCTAGTGGGCCGGCGTTAACAGCCACATCATAGCCTCACAGTTTGGCAGTGTCATATTTTATGTTGGATGTGTTCAATCTTACTCCTTGTAAATCCATTACAAGAGACCACCCGCTCATTTCATTCATCACTTATTTTCTTTTGGAAAGGTCACAACACTGAACGGCCTCCTCATGAATAGTATCCGCTTCTGTCACTGCTTAGTCCTATTGCTGTCCCACTCGCCTTTGCTTGCATTTTCTGTTGCTCGCGGTGTCTGCTTTAGGCCTGGATAACTTTAGACACGACTCATTTTAATTTTCATCTATTGATGCTGTTCTTTCCATCCAGCCTGAATTGTGTGGCGCCTGTATTCTTCTTGCAGCATATTCCTGTGGTGAGCAGCATATTTGGTGACTCCTTTTACGATCAGCAGGTGGCATCGAGGCAGACCAACGCTTTGTCTCATCAGGTGAGTTTTTCCACTATCCCCAATACATAGCAGTAGACGCAAACAGTACCTTCCATCTAAATTTACTCAGTTTCTTCATTTTAAAGTTGGAACAATTCAACATGATCGAGAACTCCATAAGCTCTACCAGCCTGTACACGCAGTGCTCCACCCTCAACTATACTCAAGCCGCTATGATGGGTCTTAGCGGCGGCAGCCTTCAAGAATCTCAGCAGCTTGGCTACAGTAGTCATGGCAACATTCCCAACATAATCTTAACAGGTAAGTTATGCACATGCCTCTCACTGCGCCATTGTTGCACTGCCACAGAGTCTTTCAAGGATCTCTGGTGTTCGTTATCAATGCTTTATCCCTTGCAGGCGCTATCTGATCGATTTGGCAGTGTGAAATTGGAATACAGTATTATATAATTTTCAAGTCATCAACTGTTAACTCATGATTTGAATGATTTCAAACAAATCTCCCAATGATTGCAGTATTTTGTCAAAAATAAAAACTTTTCGGTCTATTGTGCTGTTCCAAATTATTCTGCACAGAAGTATTCCAAGACATTTTCTAGCTCGTTAAGAACTGAAAAAAGTCATTTCTTGAATATGCAGCATCAGGAGGTTGTATTTGCGGAAATTCAAAGCTATTTCAATCAAAAACATCTTGACAGGTCAAGTTACATTTAAACGTATGACCTCTTATTTAATAGCAGCTTTGCAATTCTTACATTGATTGAACTTGTGAGCTTATGGCCAGCTTCTCTTTGAATTTCTTTCTCGGATGTCAAAATAGCCTACCGGACCTGCTGCTTGGATGTGAACTGCCTCCCAACCTCATATCTTGTTTTTGCTTGCAGATGCGTCAAAGGTTCTCATTTGTCAGTGGAGGATTGGGGCCACGCACAAGTTTCTCTCTGTATATGTCCACAAGATTACATGCTCTGAGTCACGGACTGCCCCACTGTCATGTGGTGTTCCACAGGGCACAATTCTGGGGCCTCTGCTGTTCTCACTCTATCTGCTCCCTTAGGGTGCCATCTTAAGGAAACATGGTATTTCCTTCCACAGCTATGCAGATGACTGTCAGATCTATGTCCCACTGCATCATTAGCTGCCATGGGCATAAAAGGGAGAAACTCATGATATGGTCCCCATCCTCCCCTGACTTCAACCCTGTTCAGAACCTTAGGAGTATCCTCAAGTGAAGATCGAGGAGGGTGGGAGGTAGTTCACATCCATAAAGTTTAATCAAAGTTGAATGCACTATCTTCTTGCCTCTATTTTTTTTTAGTTTTGACAGCCCTTAAAGAATTCAGTCTGTAAGTCTGGTTTGATAAAAGCAGCTGCTTGCTGTTGCCGTATATTGCTATTTAAGTCAATTAGTCGATTAATAACGACTCCTATCGCGACTAGTTGACGAGCAAAATCGTCTGTGGCAACCCTCGTTGAGAATTACTGCATAGTATACGAGAACTGGGTTAATGCTCATCATTAAGTTATTTAGGTGACAGGCATAAAACGTGCCAGGCAACGCAGAAAATGAAACCTGAATTTAAATTGTGCATGTGTGAATTCAGGTATCAAAGACAATTGAAATCAATTATGGTGAAAGCTTGATTACAATCAGCACACACTTATTTCTGCGAGCAGTTCTGCCTCCTCCTCAAGCCATAAACATTGATTACTGATTAGTCAACGCCACCCTCTAAGCTTCATTGTTGAGTAGGACTGTTGATTTAGTTTGTACAAACCATCATGTGAGCTAGATAATTCATCCCTGGAAAAAGAAATGTTCAAATCAATCATTTAAAAGCCCCGTGTGAATGACATTCATGCCCATAATGAGTCTATGTAACATTTAGCCCACAACCGGTGAGCACGGTCCTCTAGAGTTCTTATATCCAGCCTGTTTCAGATGTCTCCCTCCTTCAACACGCGTCATTCAAATGATCAGCTCAAGCGCAAGCCTTTCAGAAGCCCGATTACGATCTTGATCATTTCCACAGTTGTATGAATGCATACACCCACTTGTTTCTTTGATGTCACACATTGCAGTCACAGGTGAGTCTCCGCCGAGCCTCTCCAAAGAGCTCACCAATTCACTGGCGGGCGTCGGTGACGTCAGCTTTGATGCGGACTCTCAGTTCCCTCTGGATGAGCTAAAGATCGACCCCCTCACCCTGGATGGGCTGCACATGCTCAATGACCCCGACATGGTGCTGGCTGACCCTGCCACCGAGGACACGTTCAGGATGGACAGGCTGTGACGTGACCCGCTTGGCTGACTGTTGGCGGCGAGCAACCAGAAGGAAGATAAACATTCGAACGTGTGAATGGAGGAGGTGAGACAAAAGGGCAGGGTTGAACCCTCTCCCTAGTTGCATGGCCATCCAGCGGCCCGACCTCGCCCTCGACTCGGTAAAAGCTCTTTGACACAATGACGCGCCACCAAAAGAATGCAGGGAAAAGGACGTCCTGTGGCTTCCGGGGAATGGCCTCGATGTCCTTTTTTTTTTTTTTTTTAATTTTTTTTAAGAGATTGGTCGCTCAGCGCTTTTGCTAGCACGGCTGTGTTTACAGTGTACCATTAAATGCCACATATTTTCCGAAAATGCACATTTTTTTTTTCTTATTCATATTCGATTTAATATTTCTTTTTATTTATATTACTGTTATGATATTTCTTTATATTTGCTGGTAGCGGGAAGCTGCAGACATTGGACTAAAGCATACGTATTGGTCATCTTAAAAGGGAAAAAAAAAGCTGCTGGTTTTCCTGCCTGCAATTTATCGGGTCTTCAACAACTATCACACTCAGAGCTTTACTTTTGACAACCAAATGTTTCTTTTTTGTTTTTTTAATCATGCACTGTCTTTTGATGCCGTATGTCATGACGTTTTCTTTGTGAGAATATTTTTCGTTGGGTTTCATACAGCCGATGCCAAAATGCTCTCGGTAGGCATCGTGTAAATCTGCACTGATGTAATTTATTTCTGAATTTTGAACATATTTCACTTGTGTCTGTGTTTAGGCTACTTGTTTATTGAAGGAGTGCAAAACCTCCCCATAGTTGCTCTTCAGTGTTCGATGTGCCATATTCATTGCTGTAGCCCAGAAGTGACGGTCAACTCATCATAACTTTTATGCCGAAAAACACACACAGGCTCCAAAAGCAGGGTTGTTTTTTTGTTTTTGTTTTTTTTAATTTTACTTTTTTTTTTTTTTTAGAAGATCAGGTATAACCACGTAACTGGAAAGCAGAATGAATTTTCTGGAAAAGAAAAGCCAGCAGACTGGTCTTTCAGGGAAGGAAGCTGTCTGTTTCGTAACTGGCAAACTCTCAAATTTTAACTCTTTTGGAAGTCGTCACTGTGAAAATCACCCAGGGAAGGAAGCTGTCTGTTTCGTAACTGGCAAACTCAAATTTTAACACTTTTGGAAGTCGTCACTGTGAAAATCACCCGATTTTGCCTTACATGAGTATTCTACTGTTAAGTGTCTAATGTAACGACGTATTTTCGTAAATTCTTGAACCATTTTCTTGTATTTGACAGAGGCATATGTTTTTGTTCAGTGCTCTTTGTGATTATGTTGTGTAAGGTCTGACAAATCAATGTACTGTATTTTGTAGCGGTACACTTTATAGCCAAATTATTGACGTTTTATGAAGTGGGTGAAAGGGGAGGGGGGGATCAAAATATGGATAAATGCGACGGACCGCAAATATGGGGAGGCTTTTTGCTCCTTAAAGGGGAAGCTCTAACAAAAACACTGTTCAACATGACCACGCGAGGCAGACTGCGTGCGCCGACGGGCGTTTTCTTACCAATGTGCAATTCCGAGAAGATATTTCTATTACGGTACCTCTCTTGAGAGTGTCTTAACATAGGAAATGGAAAGACGAGCATCAAATGGTCTTTCGTAGAAACGGTTCACATATTTAGGTGTCTGATATGCCATTTTTCACCAGACTGATCTCCATCTCGTGTTGCAAACAACCAGAATGGTGACAAAAACAATCAGGGATGTGGTCCAATCACAAACTGTTTACAGATTTTCCAATTCATGTTTACAAAGAGTTTTATCTTCAATACCATCAGCTCGCTCTTACATTCAGATTCAGCAGAAAACGACCCATGGTGGCCTTTTGTCAGAGTTTCCCTGAGAGTTGTGTTTTTTGCGCAGTGTGTGCTCTTGTTTGGTATTATTCGAGCATTTGTGTACAGACATGCTGATCATTTGTGCTTACTACTCAACTCTTGGGATCCGTTCCCAGCGCCACCATCGAGTGGGGCTCACGGCAGTCTTTTTACTGTTACGCATGGGTCGGCTGTACTTTGGACAGGTGTGTGGTTCCTATGCAAGCAAGACTAAAACATGACGTTGAAAGGGGAAAAAAAAAATCCGTCTTGGGGTTCCTACATGCAGTCTGGCGCATATCAGTTGAAAAGTTGTCGCTGTCCTACATTCAATTTACCATAAAGGAGATGCGACAGTATATTACGGACATTCTGTGAATTTCTCAAGTGCTTTGGAGGCGAACTGCTTTTTAAATGAAGCGTTACAATTTGAGTTTGCGATCAGTACTTGGAGCTTTCGAAGGCCAATCCAGACTGTGTTCAAGCACACAAGGACCCAACTGGTTGATTTGAGAAACGTGCTTGGGCATGTTGCTCAAGCACAAGTGTACGCGGCTTCCACTTGATATTCGAGTTTGTTAAAGCTGTTCATGACGAACAAGAGCTGTAACTCCTTCAGGGTGATACAGTGCAATTGGCCCATTGTGAATCTTTTTTTTTTTCTTTTTCATTTTGAACTTTGAGAATTTACTCTTAAAACTGACCTCCAAAAAAAAACAAAATGAAACAAAAAAAAAAACCCCAGACATGTCAAGAAAACCTAAGATGGATTTTTACTTTTTACAACTGCCGTTTTCATTCATCCAGTCAGTCAGTCAAGCTGAGCAATGGCAGCCTTTGGAACGTCTCTGTCCTTTCCGTCTGTAATGCTGAATAATCCTTATTGTACATACACATTATAGCTGACACAATGCATGAAGAATCTGACAGGTCAACCCTCTGAATGAAAGCCTTGATAGCTTGGTAGAACGTAATGCTGTCACAAAGTCTCGAGGGGTGCATGTGGGGCTTCTCCTGTGCAGCAGTTAATTTTGTTAACTCTTTAGTGACCTCCAAGTCTGTATTATGCTACTTCATGACTCGGAAAAAAAAAAAAAAAAAGAATGTACTAAGTGTGGCAGTATCCTAGTCGCCAAAGGACACGGGGAATCTTGGTCAGACCGGACTGGGATCCACATTCGTCCTCTTGTTGCGGTCTCTCTCTCTTCCTGCTGTAGCATCTCAATGCATACGAGCACGTATTCTCATCAGAAAACTGCGTCCAAACCCTTTGGCGCTGCAGTCTTGTCGAGGAAACATGGCAGTTTGGCATGCACATTATTTGTTTTGCATTAGTGGACCTGAAGCTTCTGCGTTGCAGTCGGCCGCATGACCTGATACACACGAAGCAGATTTTGTATCCCGCGTATGCGATCATTCTTGGCTCGATCTATGCTCAAGTGACATCAGATATGATTGTTGTTTTGATTTGTTCCTCTTTCTGTATCGTTAACTGTCATGTCAAGTTTTTTGGGCCACGTGAGGTGTTTTGTTCATGCCTTTCCCGTTTTTGTGCAATGTTTAGTCCTCTAGTTGCTTCGCACTTTATTTGTGATTTCCCGGCTTTTGAACCGGGACTCATTTGCCTGATTGGAATGCTGACTGTTTCACACCAGACGTGTACTCCGGAGATATTTTCATGTCAAAGAAAAGATGAATTCTCTATTTTTGTTTTGTAAACTATATTTCAGCTTGTCTCGTTGTCGTTTTTAATCTGTGAAGACTTTAGGGGATGCAAATATAGAAAGGGCTTACTTTGGTGCAGCTTGCGCTCTTGTGTTGCAAAGGAACGTTGCTCCGAATGTAATTCTTGTAGGTCGTTTTAATCCCCGCCACACAAACACCCGCACACACACACTAAATCACCTCAAGCTTTCTGTTGTGGTTATCTGTCGGGCAAACTAAAAACGAAATCTTGGCTGAGGAAGTACCAAGGCACTACAGAAACTGCCAGAATCCAGTGCTGCATTCTAACTACAAAGTTGGTGAAAAGCTATATTTATGATGTCACAGCAGCGGAATCTTGCTTCATCGGATGCTTTCTGCAGGAACCCAGTGAGGTGATGCTTGTCCCAAGTTTTGCTTGTGTCAGACATTGGAGGTGCTCTTCAGCTTGCTTGCTGATCGAAAGTGTGGTTGAATGAATGAATGAATGAATGATGTGCACCAGACACAAGCTAGGCAGCTAATACAACTTTATAAAGTAAGGACAATGGCTACATGGTTAATTATGGTTTTGCAAAAGATGACTTGTTTATTCGTCAACGTTCTGTCCCTTTTTTGTTTTTTAAGTGCGGAACCCATCAGTGAGATGGTGTGTGACTTTTGCAATATTTGGTTGTGATGAAAAAGGAGCAACTCTCCAGGCTCATGGATAGAAACTCTGCAGGATGTACAGATCACCTCAAAGTCTTGCTTTCTTGATCATGTGGCTTACCTGCATGCTTTGGTTTGAGGTCTGTCTTACCTGCAGGGACTATTTAACACAACATGCACTCATTTTGGCTTCAAAGTTCATTTAAGGTGAACCGTCTCAAAAGGCTGAGAAAGACATTCTGTGTTTTGAAGGTGGATTCTTCTATCGGTCCTTATTGCTTGTATGTTGTTGTTTTTTTCGGGTCAGACTAAACGGTCCCTTTAATTCAACGCCATTTTCTAAAGAACTGTACAGTTCATTCAAGTCAAAGGCTCCAGAAAAATGCAAGTTACTGTAAGTTCCTCTTAAAGCTTCTAGTGAGAATAGCATTTTATCACTGTTGTCCTGTAAGTCGTAGTAACTGATCTGTAGGTATTTATTTGTTGCCATGTGATTCTCCTAATGTGACCGTTTGTTTATAGGCTGAAAGAAAAATGTCAATTAAATTGAATGTGGATGACATATTTTTCTGCACATCGTCTTGATTTGCAAAATGTTCCGACTGCGAAACTCTCAATATGGCAGCGTGTTGCTGTGGACATGCATGATGTTTTAACCCTGCTGTATTTTGTCTTTTTTTTTTTTTTTTTTGTAATCTGTATTTCCAAATACAAATCTGAAAGATTATTTTCGATATGTGCATGCTTGTGAAATGTTAAGTTTGATTACCACTAAAATCTGTTGAGTTACGGAAAGTATGTTTGTGACTTCAAGTGCATGTTTCAGCTTTGTTGTTGCAACCAGTCACAGATTTACACACAGTCGTGGACAAGAATCATTCATTTTGGACTTTTAACTTATAAGAAACATTCCTTTTCCTGGGTGGAAACTCAATTGTGTCAAATGTTTGTTTTTTTTTTTTTTGTTTTTGGGATGCACCAATTGGCATTTACTTAGAAAGGTCTCTAATCCACACTGTGAAGATTAGACAAGCGAAAGCCCTAATTCCACATAAATCTTTTAATAAGTAGTCCCGCAGGTCCTTGAATGGCTTATAAATTGAATCGACCTTTAACCTCTCATAGTCATTATCAGGGATGTGCTGTGACCAAAATTAAGCGCGTGAATAGTCATCAATAGTCATAGTCAGGAACGAGGCGGATGACATTTGCTAGCCAGGTGATGGCCAGGACCAGCCCAGAAATACACTGGCCGTTCAGGAATTTAGATATATATATATTTTTTTTTTCCGAAATTCCTGATGTCCACCCTGCCCCCTGGTCATGAGTGACTGGAGCTGTTTTTTTTTTTTTTTTTTTTTTTTTGCCTGCACAAACAATGTTTGACAGAGTTCCAAGTAATAGAATTGATTTCTAGAAGTCAACAAAGTCCTTTGGAGCAGATTCCAAACAACTGCAATTTCCGAGCTCATGCAATTCACCGAACTGTAAGCGACTGTATTTGGATGTGTCTCGGCTTTACCAAGTAGGGCCAAAGTGCCACCCTCAGATCACAGCAAATTACTTTGGATGTCCAGGACCCACCAAGGTTCAAGCCTGTCCTGATCTGTAAACTACTGGAACACTAGTGTCATTGTCCATAGTGAACCTAATTTTATGGACCAAGAAAGAAGCCTCAGATGTGAAATTGACAACTTTCAAGCTTTGGATGTTGGAGGAGTCACTCCCACCACACCCTGGTGGTAGCAATCATGCCCGTGGGAGCCTACCGGTGCGATGCGCAGCGTGGATGGCATTACAATTTCAGAAAAGACGACTTCCATTTTGATTTACAAGATCACATCAAATTGAAGCAGATTCACCTTAAGCTTTTGGATGATTGGAACCCGGTCATTCTAGGATCAGAGGTTTAAGGGTAAGAGGCAAGATGAACTTCACTGTTTTGCGCATTAAATGCTATTTTTCTCCCACATTTAAGAAAGAGAAGCTTTCCCACTTTTTAGGTAAGTTTGCGAGTAAACCCATTTCCGATAAAGTTGAATTCAATTTTGAGCCCCAGCAAAAAAGTAATGGATTAGATTCATCAAATTGTTTCATAACGCTAATTTCTGGGGGCAAACGCCTCATTTTAATACAGCAGCACCTCTACAGACACATGTATAACAGCAAGCATTTTTTCTGTCACCCTGGATTTATTTTGGGGACTTTTCGTTGGAATGCAATGCACAACATATAAAACACATAAACAGATGTTGACCTCTGAATACTTTGAATAACTAATATGTTAAATCCTCTCCGCTCTGCTATCTGTCTTTGTATAGCATTTATAATGGTAATCAACATGCAGTCACTTCATTTGTACGTAGTAGCAATTTGGCTTTGATATTAGCACGTGTGTAGGACACAACAGCTAGCTTCTGCTATTTCCAATTCAAACAGGAGACCGTGGTCTTCATCTCTCAGCGGTCAGTCTGACCATATGAAATGTTTCCTGACTTGAGAAAATGTCAGTTCATCCCCGCCGAACAGCACTTAGCCTTGATTAAATGCAGCAAAAAATGAGAAATGTTATGATAATGTGTTGGGATAGAATGGTACAAGTTATATGTGCAACATGCTCTTTGTCGATAGTGAGCTAACCAAGCACTGCATGCCTCCACACTTTTCTAGCTTGTTTGAAAATGAGATACAGTTTAAAATATATATATTATCTTTCATTTTAGGGGTGCAAACATCCCTGAAAAATGAGCTAGACATTCAATTTATTAAACATGGACTGTGCTTAAAAGGTTGGTCCATGCCAGTGAATTGTCCAATTTGAATTAACACTACCAATTCTGGCAATAAGTGTTAAATAGTCAAACACTTACCCAGAATGATGCCAGCTGTGACAAAGGGAAACGTGCAGGGACATTTTATCAAATGTGAATGGGGGGGAATGTACTGTACAGTGTGTGTATGTTAAAGCACTCAACTTTAGTTGAAAAAAAAATGGACATCCCTTTGATGGATGTGCAGAAACGTGTGACCATAACTAGAGTGTCTGACCAAATAACTGCCAAACTTGAGTACAGGAAAGTTCCATCGTAGAAAGGGTTCTGTCAGTCGTCATCTGTACCTGTGGGTAAAAAACAAAAAAAAAAAGCAAAAAAGGACGTTTCGCTTCTCTCACAGAAGCTTCGTCAGCGGTAGACAACCCTGACTAGAGTGTCTGACCAAATAACTGCCAAACTTGACAGTTAATACATGAATTTTGAAAATTGCAGCGACTTCAAACGTAATTCTATCAACGGTTACCTGCAGACTCCATGTATCATTTAACAAAGAAACAATTTCATTCTGATGTGGCAGTTTGCTAAAATTGTAAACCAAAACAAGCTAAAAAATACATATTTTGTCGAATTTCCATTTGTGTTTTCATCTGCTGGGAATCTTCTGATGAGTGTAAACCAGTCTGAGATTGGAATGAATATTATTGGCACTCTTTGAAGGGCTCGTGGGTCATTTCCTTCAGGCCACCAGCTGAACATGCTGCGCACGATAGGTGTCGAAGTCTTCTGGTATCGTGTCTGGAGACAGAAATACCCATTTATATTTTTGCTGCTTGGACACTAGCTTCCCTGTCTAAATGAACCGCTGTCTTTCTGATAAAGAATAGAAGAGTCGCACAGGTCATACAAGTTTGCATTTCCTACCATCATGAGAGATCTGAGCGTAAACCATAGTTCAGCAAACCTCAAACGATTAACTTTACTTTTTGGTGGTGGGGGGGCTGCGTACGTTTTGTATGCAGGAATTTGCGAGTCCTGACCTCAAGACAATCACACACCTTTGGCCAAACCTAACACAAAATAAATGTTCTTCTGGGTTGATAGAGGAAAGAAAACACAGTCACACTTGGGAGGAAAAACGGGTTGCTCACCGTTGCAGCGATAACGCAGGTTGGCCCAGATGATATTCTCCTGGGAGAAGCAGAAAACTCCAAGTCGACCTCCCCTCATGGTGGCGTCTATAATGACACCTGTGTCTGCCACCACCTGAGGACCCTCATAGAAGCGAACCCTGTACCCCAAAAGAGCAAAGAACAAATATTTTTGGTGTGGAAAAAGTGGCATGTAGAAGTGCGAGAGACTATTTGGTTTCAGCTTGTAGCGAGCACTCTACCTGATGTAGCCATCAGCGGGTCGGTGCTGGAGGAACCAGCGATAAGACGTCTTGTCCTTCCAGCCGACATTGCGAGCATCTTTCCACAGCAGCTTCACCTGGTCGCTCGTGTCGCCGGTGTGCCACAGGGCATTCCTCAGGTTCTCACCAGGGCCAGTGTTGGACTTGACAGCCTTTCCAAATTCACACATGAAAATGAGTGAGTCTCTGGTGCAACATCTCAGCCCTGTGCATCTTATGAAAGTCCATATTGACATCAAGTTGTTCATGGAATTTGAGAAAAATATTATATAGCAGCGAAGCTCTGTTATGATATTTTCCAACATTGGTCCAGTGGCTAGCGCATTCACCTCACAGTGCAGAGGTACCGGGTGCAATTCCAGCTCCGGCCTCCCTGTGTGGAGTTTGCATGTTCTCTCCAAGCCTGCGTGGGTTTTCTCCGGGTACTCTGATTTCCTCCCACATTCCAAAAACATGCATGGCAGGCTGATTGAACACTCTAAATTGTCCCTAGGTGTGAGTGTGAGCGTGGATGGTTGTTCATCTCTGTGCGCCCTGCGATTGGCTGGCAACTGGTTCAGGGTGTCCCCCGCCTACTGCCCGAAGACGGCTGGGATAGGCTCCAGCACCCCCCGCGACCCTTGTGAGGATAAGCGGATCCGAAAATGGATAGATGGATGACATATTAGAGCCTAACATTGCATTCGGAGAGGGGATGGTGGCCGAACTAATTATTGGAACCAAGATGGCGTATGGCCAGCCCGGTAAGTGTGCTCTCAAGTATTGTCTTTGTTTTTTGTCATTGTTGTTCGTCTTTGGTGACCGTATGCCACTTCCGTACAAAGTACATGCGGGAAGATTTGTTAAGCAACAGGGAGTCTACGAGGGAGATTTATTCACAAATCCACAGTTTTGGGGAGATATTGCATGGTGGAGACATAGATGGCAACTCTGTGAAACATGGCAGCTTGCTGGTGAAGTTATGTCAACCACTTGCATTGATTTGTCTTATAAATCTCCCTGTCCAACAAAATGGACGAGCTTCTTCTCCTCACAAGGGTCAGCGAAGACTTTGTGTGTTCTGCCACTCTCTGCTTTACTGAATCTTGGCTCAGTGATTGAATCCCAGATGCAATATGCCACAACTGCCTGGCTTCCAAAAATATCAATGTGCAAAACTTTATTTCTGTGATTCTCCACATCTGTCCACATTATCCAAACGAGAACATCTACAATAGTCTTGGACAGGGCTCTGGACTGCCCCTAAATGGTGGCATTTTGCTCCTAAAATTTGAGACAGTGCAACTAAAATTTGCATCTACTCGTGACTGCAACTGACAAAATTGCAGAATTTTTTTAAACTACTGTTCTTGCATATTTTTTGTTGCTGACAAACCTCTGCTCCACGCTACAGACCATTTATACAGTAAAGTGAAAATTAGTGGAGTGAATATTGACTTTGCAGGTTGAATTATAGTGTGCCCCTAAATTGTCTCCTTGCGCCCCCAAAATTTCAGATTAGGGGCCACCAAGATGGACAGATGCAATGTGGTGATTTTGTCATGAACTTCTCAGTTGGGAGGATATTATCTAACACTTTATTGGCAAAAGTATTCCCTCACCTGCCTTGATTTCCATATGAACTTGAGTGACAACCCATTCTTAATGCATTTAATGTGATGTTGGTCCACCCAGTTAAAGCCAATTTATGGCAATATAGTGTAGAAATTGAGCAGTCCCATGAAAAATGAGGCCTTTCCGCTGATTACCTTCAGTTGGATCCCCGGTTCTGCCACAGCTCTGAATGGGTTGGCCTGCCAGTAGATCTGCTCCACCTGCTTCCACATCACCACATAGAAACTGGAGCTGTCCTGATACCCGAAAATAAATCCTGCATAGTCGTCGTCTGTCACCGTGTTGACATGAAATGTCCCTTCAAAATCGACACCACTAAAAGCAGTGTAACCTGGGAAGGAAAAGGTGCTGCTTTACCATTCAGCATTGAGTCCCCTGACATATTGTTTAGTATGTGCAATGAGGGGAGATAAAGTGCACAAAATGTATTTATCACACATTAATATCTCAGCCAAGAGCATTTTACGTTATGAGGCTTTTCAAAAAATATCTTATTATTTACATTCTTCTCCATCTGTTAGTAAAAAATGCATGGATCTGTGACGAAATCCAGATGTGCAGGATCTATGAAGCTCTTAAGATTTTTCGACAGTGCATCCTATCCTTCTGTCCTACAAATGCAAAAGTCAGTCCAAATATTTAAATAAAGCCTAAATCAATTCTTTCATTTCAATTGACAATAAAATTCCACCAAAGGATCGGCATTGTGTCTTTTTAGATCAAGATAAAGCGACAGGGGACTCAGAGAAGAACTGTAGTACTGCATGAGGAAGTCTGGAGTGGCAGAGAAATATCGTACAGGACATGTGAGATTAGCAGGACAGTGGTGAAGTGTGCTGTAGGTTTGACAGAGGAGTTTAAGGTGGAGGTAGGACTGCATCAGGGATCAACTCTAAGCCTCTTCCTCCTTCCAGCAAAGGTTAGTTTTTTTTGAGAGACAAAGTTAGAGAGAGCAGATTTTGATGGCTTAGGCACATCCAGAGTAAAGGTAATGACTATAATGGTGGAAGGATGATGTGGATAGAGTTGTCAGGCAAGAAATCTAGAGGAAGCCCGAAGAGAAGGTTGATAGATGTGGTGAGGGAAGGCATGGACGCCTTTGGTGTTAAAGAAAGGGATGCAGAAGATAGACTTACATAGAAAAAGATGATGTCCCGTAGCGACCCCTAATGGGACAAACCGAATATTAAAAGAAAAAAATCATACCAACGGCCAACCCAGGATCACTATTCATTGTCTGGACAATCTCTCTGCCCTGCACAGTCATTGAAGAAAAATAATTAATTGGGTACATTGTTGGACTTCCAGCACTTCATTATTGAAAGCAAATTGGAATGAAACAATGTCATATTACGGTAGAATATTTAGCGTAAAAAATGTAAAGCCTCAGAACTATGCCAAGAAGAATGAGCTGTACATCTGAAGCTCATTTCATGATTACATTTAAAAAAATTTAAGTTATCTTAACTCTTGTATGTAATTGCATCCTCCAAAATAGTGAACAGTCTGTATGAAATGAAATGAAATTGACCTGATCCAGCACCACCCAGTTGGGGTCAATCTGAGCGTCACCTTCTGGATCTAAAACCACAGTCTGATACTCCCTGAAGTCAGTGAGCGTGACCTCAGCGTTTTCAGGACAAACGTCGATGGTGTCAATGATGGTGTCGTTGTCGAAATCTCTCTCACACACATTGCCAATGCCATTGCCTGGAAGCATACATGGAAACAGATGTTAATGTGAATGATTTATTCACCTGCAGCAATCCCTACCGTCAGAATCCTCCTGCAGGGGGTTCGGGATTAAACGGCAGTTATCAGGGCCCGGTGGCAGGAGGTCCGGAATGCCATCGTCATCATCATCATCATCACACTCATCTCCTTTGCCGTCTTTGTCAGTATCTAGCTGGGAGCTGTTGATGACAGCTGGGCAGTTGTCTCGAGAGTCTTGGTGACCGTCACCATCACTGCGGGAGGTAGTCTTTGATTGGCCCATGCAGGATGTTGGTCGCGTTATGTGTCATTTGATCTCACTGTACCTGTCTTTGTTGGTGTCGCAAGGGTCTCCGATTAGGTCGTTATCCGCATCAGACTGGGTAGCAGGTGGTTTCAGGTTTACAACAGAAACCGCTGTTAGGACAGCTAGTCATGGAAGTTCAAACGCTCTCATGGCTTTCTACCAGCCTATGTACCGTATTGGCCCGAATATAAGACGGCCCTGATTATAAGACGACCCCCTCTTTTTCAAGACTCAAGTTTGAAAAAAGACTTTTTGAACACCAAATTAATTTTTATACAGAAAATAATTACAGTACATCTGAAACAAATGATTCTAACAATATATTTGAGAGAAAAAGCATGTTATTTTTCCTGATTCAAATCTTAATATTTGAACATTTAAATATTTAAACTAAAGTGCAATCACATTCGTAAATGAATGGCTTCCGATTTTTGAAATGTAAATTACATCATAACTTCTCCTCAGCTGCCAATTAACCTGGCTGATCTTCGACCCACTTTTCTCCAGATTGTCGCAACGTTTCTTCATTTTCTGTTATCTCTTCTATTATTTTCTTCTCTTTTCTTTCTTACCGCTATTTGTTTATTTTTCTTCTTCATGCTACCGCTATTTTTATTTTTATTCTTCATGACAGGGATTCACTTTGGCCTGGGGAGTCAAGTTTAGCATTCGCTTCAATGATATCTGGCGCCATCTAGTGTCGTGAATGGGTATAATGTCTAGACCCCGAATATAAGACGACCCCCACTTTTTCAGTCTTATTTCAATGCAAAAAACACCGTCTTATATACGGGCCAATACGGTAAATTTTATGTATGAAAAGTACTGGTGGTATCAAAACTCGGTATCTGTGAGTGCTCAGGAGTGACTACAAAAGTGGTCAAGTCAAAAGTCAAGAGTGAATACAAAAGTGGTATCGAACAACCCTCGTTTTTACAGTATTCTGTCAGATTCCCTCGCATTTGGGAGAAGAGAGTGCCAGTTGCTGATTCACTTTTCAGCCGTTTATGATTGAGTGTCATGCACAGACACTTGCTCAGACTCGCTCAAGCCAATCCACCAGGCGCCGCCCCTTAAAGGCACATGCATGAATCGCACACAAACACTCCATTATGTTCACTGTTTTCTGTACATTTTATGCCTTTTTGTGTTCAAATAATTTGACGATGTGATTCACATCGAAAAGAAAGAACATGCAAAGCTTTTTTCCTCCAGAGCCGAGCCTAAAATGCCCTCATGCCAAGACATCTGAATCAGTCGACACAAATGTACACCAGCTTAATAGACAGATTAACAGGTTTTAATGCTGCCAAGAATATGTTAAAGAGCTATCTGACCTGGTCTGGGTTGGGAACATACGGACAGCTATCACAGGCGTCTCCAACGTTGTCTCTATCGCGATCTATCTGGTCAGCATTGGGAACTCTTTTGCAGTTATCCAAGTAATTGGGGATTCCTGAAAAAAATGCATCCAGTCATGTATAGTATGTTCCTATATCCTTTAACGCTGTGACAATAACTTTGCAACCACAAGTCTTCTGAGTTCAGCATGAAACATACTAACCGTCCCCATCGATATCTTCATCACATTCATCCCCAAATTTGTCCACATCGGTGTCCTTTTGGTCGTTGTTTTTGACAGCACGGCAGTTGTCGCAAGCATCGCCGAAGTCATCTTCGTCGATGTTCCTTTGATCCACGTTGGGAACAAGCACGCAGTTGTCCTGTAGGCAAGCACTTCTTGATTTTCAGGATCTTGAATAAAACTGCAAAATTTCTCCCGCCCCAACCGGCCAAGAAAAATAATTTTATTAGTGAAAATGTGTGTGTGTGTGTGTGTGTGTGTGTGTGTGTGTGTGTGCGTGCGTGCGTGTAAAGAACCTGTGTGTTGGGGATCCCATCACCATCTGCATCTTCATCACAGGCATCTCCAATCCCATCACGATCAGCATCCTCTTGACCAGAGTTGGGCACTGTGAGACAATTGTCCTGTTCAAAAAAAAATGGTGAGGAACTCCATTTTCTATGGAAACATACCAGAGCTATATTAGCATATTTTTGAGAGGGTTTGGGGTTTATATGTTTATCGATATACAGTATATTCATTCATTCATTTTCCTATCCGCTTATCTTCAGAAGTGTCGCAGGGGGTGGTGGAGCCTAACCCAGCTGTCTTCGGGCAATAGGCGGGGGACACCCTGAACCGATTACCAGCAGAGACGAACAACCATCCACGCTCACACTCACACCTAGGGACAATTTGGAGTGTTCAATCAGCCTGCCATGCATGTTTTTGGAATGTGGGAGGAAACCAGAGTACCCGGAGAAAACCCACACAGGCCCGGGGAGAACATGCAAACTCCACACAGGGAGGCCGGAGCTGGAATTGATCATCAGCATACATAGAGAGAGAGAGAGAGAGAGAGAGAGAGAGAGAGAGAGTTTTCAGTGCATTTCAATATTTTAATTGAAGTCAATTATACACTGATTTCCACTCTTCACAAGCTGGCCTGGTTTCTCTCTATGCGAATAGCGGGGTTCCACCGCACATCACATTGAGTACCTATCAGTGCAACTTGGGAATGTAACCCCGCCTCCATATCATTCATTTCCTAGTGCCTGTGACTCACCTTGGCACAGTTCCTCTCAGCACAGTCCAACTTCTCATCTGGGAAACCATCAATATCGATGTCAGGTCCACACAGGAAACCATTGCCAGCCCATCCAACTCCACACTGAAAGTATGTCAAGCCTTTTATGGGCCACACTGTTTTCAATGGCCCAGCGTAACTGCTGTTTAAACTCAAGCTCTTCCATTCACAATAGCTCGTAACGAGATCACGGCTTTAAGTCAAGCCATAGCAAATGAATTGTGTTTCAACATTTCTGCCTTGCCTTGACACAAATACAGCGGTATTAATTTAGCAGTATTATATATACAGTACCGTTAATTGCTGTGGTTTTATTTGCACTTTAGAGTGGCGAAAACAAAACTGAATCATACTGAGAGGGGCTGAAAAAGAAATGCAGATGCACTAGTTATGGTCAGCAACACAGTTTATCCCACAAAGCATGCTCAAATCGTGATATGTTTGTGTGAATGCACCAGAACAGTCATTCAACAAAACAATCAGGTTCATAAATTAATGTCCCTCCCTTTTTTGGCCCATGTTGATCTCTCAAGTACAGTTACCAAGCACACATGTATGCAATTAACTCTTTCTGCCCAGCCCACTTACTTTGTACAACAGCAGGAGGTCATTTATTTGGTTGTGTTTGACTAAATATCTACCAAATCTATTTCCATGAAACGTTGTGGATAATGAGGTCCCAGATCCCGAAGTGTCAAAGGTACTCATTTGCTTTACTTGTATAGAAGTACAAGTACGTGTGAAGAAAAAAAAAGTCTCTGGTAAAAGCATAAGTCCTGATTCAACTTTTTTCCTTCAGTAAAACTACAGATAGAAATGTTCTTAGTGTACTTAAAATGTAGACTTTTTGATACGACGCTCATACTGCATCTCATTGACTTAGGTGTGTACCTAATGGAGTGTGAGGTGAGGGCATCGGCTGAGTGTAAATATGATTCACAGTGTTGTGTCAAAAAGAAGAAGAAAGTGGAATTGAATTACTTGACATTCAATCTTTCCATCTCGATGGATGGCGCACTCTGCGCTGGCATGACAAGGGCTCGGCTGGCCGTTGCCACACGCTCTCTCGGGCCTGCAACCCAGTCGCTGGTCACCCACGTAACCCCTCTTACAAGGGCCACATCTGAAGGATCCCTGACAGATGAAGCATCGCGTCAGCCATTAGTCTTGATGATCTAACAGCGGCAAACTGTGCATTTCGTATCTGGGCCTTCCGTTGGTAGTTTTTTACTTTTTACTTCAAGTCAACAGCACTTGACACATATTTTTGATTTGGACCGAGGTTTCACAGAATCTATACTTACTGGAGTATTCAGACAGATGGAATTCTCAACACAGCCGCCATTTGTGCGGATGTCACATTCGTCAATGTCCTTGCACACCTTCGTAAGACAAACAACCACAGCGTAAAACATTTCAGAAGATTTTACAGTGATCCTTATCTCAAAACAACCACAAACTCTTAGGGATTATATTGAATGCTTTAAATTGCCCATTCCTGATCGAGAGTCTTCAATGAACTTATCATGCATATTCTGGGAATGTGGAATGTGGTCTGCGTATGCACAGAAAACCCACGCAAGCAGTGGGGGGAAGCAGACTAATTCCATTCTGTGAGTCTAGTGTACAAAGCACTCTGTCCCTGTGCCGTGTTGTATCATACAGTAAATGAAATTAATGAGCTTTTTTACAACATTCAAATGTACGGTCATGCTCCTTTCTAAAATAATTAGTAAATCCCAGACTAAATTTTGGGCATACTCAGACATACTCAAGTTGTTATAAAATACTTTAATTTCAATGTAATACTTGACTGTAAATGTTTACATCAGGGGTCGGCAACCCAAAATGTTGAAAGAGCCATATAGGACAACAAAAAAAAACATATGTATGGAGCTGCAAAAAAATAAAAGCCTTCTATAAAACTTACAATGAAGGAAACACATGCTGTATGTATGTTGGAGACTGGACTGTCTCAGAATTGTTTGTTATTTATTCCTCTGTTGTGTGTTCACAAACGCCCCCATAGAATTTATTTTGTGATTTCCTCGCTTGATTTTTTGTTTTGGTGCATTATATTCGCTTTTCTTAGTGTCAGTGAAGTGATCATGAATTTCCGTTTTTCGCAGGCTGTCTTTGAACGCCTCTCGAGTTGAATGAGAAGAGAGAAGGCACGGAGTCAGACGCAGACATGTCTGTGTTTGTCGACTGTTAAAAGCATAAATAAAGTGTACGTTTTAAAAAAAACAACACCACAGCTCTGCTTTTTCGGACCTGCAACATGTATTTATATCTATTTGAGCTATATTAGCCTACTATCAAAATCTTTTTCCATTTTCAAACATTTTTATAAAGCTCCAGGGAGCCACTAAATGTCGCTAAAGAGCCGCATGCGGCTCTGGAGCCGCTTGTTGCCGACCCCCGGTTTACATGATTGGCTAAAAATTAATACCAAACCACAATGAATACGCTATGTTGCAATGTAGTTTACCTGCTTGTTGGCAGTGGCGTAAGCGATGCTGACGCCGTGTACCTGAGGTCCGCTGTATCCCGACGGACACGGACCACAGTGGAACCCCGGCAAAGTATTGATGCACCGCACACCCCTGTGGCACGGTATCACAGAACACTGTCGACGACAATTATACGGCGGTTGTACAAATTTCAAGACAATTGAAAAGATGTGGCTATCTTGAGCATTTGATTGCTAGTACACCACACTCCAAAATCCTGAGTCGTTTTCTTAACCCACTTGATAGGTAGCTGTGGATTTTGAGCAGATAAGGTTGATTTTGAAGATTAGATTTGGGCAGGCTATAGCTGAAGTTGGTCACCATTTTGGACGGTTTTGATGTGGACTGAATGACGGTGGGTGGGTAAGGATGGGGAGTAGGTGGGCTTTACTTGACCTCAGCACTGTCAACACCACCGAAGGAAAAAAAAATCTCAGACACATGGAAACATCTTGGACAAAGTCTTGCCAGATGTATAGAAGTTATTTTACCTGCAAATTGGAGACAACTCTGCATTTTCTTTTAAGTTTCACTTCACGTAAGTGTAATGGGCAGGTGCATCTGGACCAAGGTATTGGGATACTTTTGTAGTCTAAGATACACAAGCTACTTCCAACAAGTTTGGGAATACCTGGAGTTAAGCCAAGATCAGGATACATATTATGGTTTTATGTTTACATCCTCAAGCCTGCATACCTCATCCACGTCAGTGCAGTGGGTGCCATTACCCTCCATGCCTTCCGGACAGGGGCCACAACTTGGACCACGAGGTGTCTCTATACACCTTACACCAGGGTAGCAGGGGTTGGGCACGCAGGAATGGCGAGGCATCCCCCTTCCCGTCCCTGCCGTGTCAAAGGGTCATGTGACTCGATCCCAATAGCTGACTCGCAAAATCACTCCTCACAAAACATTAGGGAAATTTGGGGTAAAATTATAGGATAGAATTAAAATGCACGACATTTACAGTTGACAAATTTCAAGATGTAACAAATGTTCTTGTTTTTTAGGGATGAAAAAATTTTAACGTGGGAAGAAAGTCATATTCAAACAAATTAAATTTGAAAATATCACCATTCTCAGAACACGGCACTTCTCTGTTCTCCCAAAAAAAGGACTATATTTTCAAAAAATGTTAGTTTTATCCCCCACAAACTACTGTATTCATGCAGGGATGCCAGATGTTATTCAATGATATATCACAATTGTATCAGGAATTTTAAATGTCCCACAGAAATAATTGGTCAATTATCTTTTGTTTGATATACACATAGTTATGCTCTTTCGAAAATCATATAACAATTGATTGCAAATTATTTTGCGACCCTCAAGCTATGACGCCGGTGAGTCTGGGGACCTCAGTTTGAGAACCACTGCTGGAGTGTGTTTAATACTGATCATGGTGACTCACCACAGGCATCACACTCCATCACCGTATTCTTGAGGAAAACCATCTCTTGAATCTGGAATATACAAAGAGTCGGTTTTACAATTGTTGTGGAGGTGGCGCTGTTGGCAACTTTTTTCATCAGTCCAATCCAAAGTTTTCAAACCAACCACAAATGTTTTCAGACATCCAAATTTTTTTTAACAAAACATTCCTGAGTGTTTTCTACCATCTGTGTCATTTTCATTCAATGAATGGAGTTTGATGTCAAGTGTAAAATGTTGTATCAGGTGTGACATGCATTACCATTTGTTTCAGAAGCTCTTTTATCTCCGACAGGGCAAGGTTCGACATTTTAATTTGATTTATAATTTCACCACCTAAAATATGAAAGAAGAACAACAATTGTTAAATCTGTTGAATGTATTAATTAGAAAACAATTGTGCTTATGTGCGTGCGTGCACGAGTGTGCGTACGTGCGAGGTGGACATGTATTCCCAAACCGGGCTCTTAATAGCTGACATTCCAGAGGCACCACCTACGCAGTGACTACATTTTAAAGAGCAGACAGAAATCTGCTGCGTGATTGATTCTGCAGATACAGACATGATGCAAGCTTTTTCTGAAGGTTTTAATCCTGCAAGGAGCAGAAGATTGAACTGAAAGTATGAACGACGTTAGCTGTCCGATTTGAACAGGAAATAGATGAAAAAGGGTTTTCTTCATTTTGTGTCTTGTGTCCTCTGGCTGAAAGCTAACATGTTGGCTTGTTGTGTTTACAGATAGTAACTTTATTTCTTTCTGTTACTTTATGTTTGCAAAACAAGCTCTTGAAGCAGTTTTTTTATTTGTTTTTTGACCCAGTGCTAACAAGCAACATTGCGTTGTCCCACTTTGACTCGCATCATGTGTGACCCAATAAGTTAAGATGAAGGACTTTCAAGTAATGAGCAAGCAATGTAGATGACAGCCCGACACTCCCTTCCAAGCAACATTTTTACAGAAAAACAATCTTTTGGTCTAACAACAAAATCTGAAGGCATGTGAAAGTCATGAAGCTCATCTCCCAGCGCAATTTGTTGTAGCTATTGGTAGCAACTACTGGCCCAACGACCCCAATGTCAGCTCTAACCACTTAACCTGTTCCCCCAGTATGTGTGAATAGCAGCAAATAAGTTCTTCTCGTTAGCAGCAACTCTATTTATTGAATGAATACGATGTGTGTGTGTGTGTGTGTGTGGAAAAAAAGGCACTGTTGGGAAGAGGGACTATACCCGTACCTTTTTTTTTTTTGTCCCCCTTAAGCGGGGTACATATTGGGATTTTGGTGTGTGTGTGTATATATATATATGTATATATATGTGTCTGAAATTCACTGTCAGAAAAAAAAGGCACTGTTGGGAAGAGGGACTATACCCATACCCATACCTTTTTTTTTGTCCCCCTTAAGCAGGGTACATATTGGGATTTTATACCTTTTGTAGGCAATTATTCACTTGTAGGTGTGTACCTCTGAGGGTAATGTCCCAGTGACAAGCCACTGGACTCTTAAAGGTACAAATTTAACCTTTTTTTTTTTACCTTTTGTAGGCAATTATTCACTTGTAGGTGTGTACCTCTGAGGGTAATGCCCCAGTGACAAGCCACTGGACCCTTAAAGGTACAAATTTAACCTTTTTTTTTTCTGACAGTGCACTGTACATCACATATTATTGTGGAATTAATACACCTTAATTGTTCTTATTGATGTGAAAAGCATTAAGATCCTTCTCGTTTATCATTGTACGTTTCTGACTACGAAAGAATTTTAAAAATCACTTCAGCAAACAGTGGCAATACATTTTCCCTTATTCAATGAGACACAACAAAAGGCTTATTTTGTCCCCATAACATGGTCCAATATGGTAATACGGTCATAATTTCGTATCAAGGTTAAGGCAGCAGTGGTTAACTTACGTCGACACTCGTAATAATGTACTTCTATTCTAATGCCTGGACAGTTCATAAATGTTTGACCCAAGAACTGATTCCCACCCCCAATTATATTTTCCTAAATACAATATATCTGTTTCCCACATTAATCGGTGTAATTTTTTATTCATGTTTCTAATGGTGCCCATAGCCAAAACAACCAGCGCTTGTAAATCTAAAAGTGTTTTCTCACCTCTCTGTACTGCAGCTTGTCCTTTGCAGAGCACACAGGCCAGCACCAGAAAACAAAACATGCTGCAGTGTGTGTGTCGCTCTCGTCTGCCTTCTTCAACCTTTCTGCAAACGTGCTTCATCGTGAGACTCACTATCTCCTCCCCCTGCTTTGGCTTCACCAGAAAACAAAACATGCTGCAGTGTGTGTGTCGCTCTCGTCTGCCTTCTTCAACCTTTCTACAAACGTGCTTCATCGTGACTCACTATCTCCTCCCCCTGCTTTGGCTGTTATACCTCTATATCCTCCATAATAAAAATCAACAACAAAAAAAACCAACAACAACACAACCACCACTTCCCCAGACCGTCATCCCCAACTGCAGTGCTCAGCCCCCTCTGCAGGAATGATAAGAAATGATATTTTGCAGGTTTTCATGCACAACACACGTCATGTTAAAGTTGTGTTGATGTCACATTGGAGATAGAGATATGAAAACATACTGTCAATAATTCTTCCTGAAATAATCCAACAATGTCAGGCAATGTGTAAAAAGCTAACTAGGTTTAATGGGGGGTGTGGGGGGGGGAGAAACATCTAAATTTTCATACAATGCAGTGGATACAAAAAGTCTACATATCCATTTAAAAGCCATGTTTGTATTTGGGCCTGATTTAATCAGCAGATATTAGCTCTTAAATCAGATGATTTGTATTGGTGATTTATTTATTTTTTTACACATTACAACGTAACACAAAGATACTGAACTCCCCCAAAAGCTAAAAAGTAGCTGATTTTCCTCTTTGCTGTAAAGTTAAATAATAATCGCCATACTGTCCAATGTTCTGCGTGTAAATCACCTTTATGTATGTACATATCAGTGATGTGTTCCTCGAGCCGGGCCTTGGCCTCGAGAACCGGCTCGAGGATCGAAGGTCGATCCTTGGTAGCCAAGTACTTGGCCCTGGCCTTGGGTTTGGGAGTCAAGTCCTTGGCCTTGGGTTGCCGGTCCTCGGACACCATGAGGGATTAGAGCCTCGAATCCCTAGTCCACAGGTATAAAGTGGGTCCGAGGACGAAGTAAAAAGGGTGCTTCGGAGCACCGCCAAAATCACGAAGGAATCAAATAAATTCCACCCAGGGAAACCCATGTTGATGGATTAAACTGGCGCTTTAAAAGGGGCGGGACTGCCACTAATAGGTGACAGTTAGCGCAATCTATAAAGAGCGACATCACAGTTAGTTTCAATCACGGTTTGTTCCGTTCGCGATCGGCAGTTTAAATAACGTGTAAAGTCTTTCTGTAACAGTGGTGTCTTTTATGTAGTTATTTTTGCACAGTCGTCACGTTTGTGCGGTGGCACTAGAATGTTTGTTTGAACCAAGTAATTTGCGTTACAGCTGGAGTCAATAATGCCGTGACTTCACTTCCGGGTATGGCCCTTGAGATTTGGACTCCTTTTGCTCGATTCCAGTTATGTTTGCTGAATGCTTTCTCATGTGTGGAAAAAATGAATATTGACAATACATACTTTAAAATCATGGTTGATTTAATTATTTATTATTATTGTGAAGTTGAAGGTATTAAATTAATTAATGTAGTATGAGTGGAAGTGGTAATAATAGGAGTACTCAGAGAATGTTTAGAGATCAGCCATCTCGTTACCTCTGCGTCCCGCGTCC